CCGTACTCTGTACTATGTACTATGTGAGTTGATACTTGTCTAACTATGTGTTTCCAACTTGTGTTTCTAACTATGTGTATCCAACTGTGTGTATCAACAGTGTGTATCAAACTCTGTGTATCAACTGACTGGGCCTCCCAGAATCGTCTTTGACGACACCTCCGCAATGTCGTCTTCGCGGGGGTGAAGACGTTCTGGTTGGCCCTTTTAAATCTAGATGGTTGTAGAAGGGAGACACAGTCCCCTCCCTTCTACTGCTGGGATCGAGTTTTCGTCCTTGTGTCTAATTTGGGAAATTAGTATCTCGTGGGTATGTAGTCGTGGTTGTAAACCTTAATCCCCGTGTGTGTGTGTCGAGGAGTTCTATGGGGGTTGGCGCGCGACAAATCACTGTTTCCGCGTCACTATCACATAAGTCTGTGACGTCGGGTTCACTGGGGGTTTGCGTTGGTGGACTGGTGATTGTCGGCTCTGGTGCAGCGCAGGGAACTGTCTCTGCTGCAGTGGTTTGCGCTGTATCCAGTTCCTGCTGCTTGACCTGAGCCTTCAATCGCTTCGCCTGGACCAATTTTCCGGCGCGACAACCACGCTTCCGCTTCTTGCTTGCGTTCGCGTTTGGCTACGGGGACAGAATTGAATGAGAGAAATAAAAAGGAAAATAGAATGAGCTAGATTTAAATTATATATCGAGACTTTGCCTTATCGGCATTTTGCGGCGCTATCGGAATTGAAGCCTAGTAGGCGCGAAATTCCAATTGGCGCAAGTCGGGTAGTTGGCGCAGAATCCTGAAGTGGATAAAATAAATAAATAAAATAAAAAAATAGTAATAATGTTGTATTCCACTCAATATGTTTATTATTAAAGTAAAATACAAACGAAGTAATACTGGATACAATATTCGTCGTTAGAATAGCGTAGATTCTAGTACTTAGAAGGTTCAGAAAAAATCTGCCTGTTCAGGAAAAATGCTGGGTGTTTTTAAAGGATCGGAAAAATAGGAAGGGGGGAGTTACTGCGAGCCTGATGGTCTGTAAAGGATAAGGTCATGAGGATGAAGGCAAGGTTCAAGAATGACTTGATCGGTCGAGTCATGAGGGTGAGAACAAGGTTCAGAGATGACTTCTTCGGTCAAGTCACGAGGAACAGAAGGAAGGACTTGGGGTGTTTGCTGTTTACAGTAGCGTGACTGATTCGGTATACAACAATAATAATAAGGAAATGAGAATTTGGGTTCTGAGTGTCGCGAATAGAATACGAACGTTGAATTGTGGCCGTAGTTGTACTTTATATCACTTCACTATGTCGTAGGAGTCGCGGAGGTGTACTACTGATTTTACTTTACGGAGAGTCGGAGCGACACGTCTGTCTCGTATGAAACGTGGGTTTAGAATGAATGCGCTGGTCGTCGCGACGCGGTGCGTAGTGCGTCACGTTATTAATTTCTCACGCCGTTGGCATGTAGTGAGCGTGGGTACCGGGCTTCCCTTTATCTTATCAGGGATCGGGTTACTCGAGGAACCGAGCGGTCTCGCTCGAGTCGCTTATCGATGGTCTCACGCGGCGGGAATGCGTCGATTGTAAAAGGATTGCAACTTTTTTTTCGAGCGATTTCTACGCTTTGCGGTTTTTTTATTGATAAGTTATGCCTCTTTGCAAATCCCAAAAACCAGTCCTCTCCAGGGACGCCGTTCTTAAATGGAGTTTTAATTTTGTTCTCATTTACGAATTGTCCAACCAGTTCTCGCATCTCTTTTCTAGATAACCCAAATCCATACTTTTTTTTTTACGTGGGGGAACCTTCATAGGCGAACCCGGCCCCCTGAGGGGGAACGGGAACAGTGCCGGATTCTTACCGGCTAAACCCCAACGGCCTTCCTTCCGCGGATCGAAATGAGGGAGGGTCGGCGCCTATCCATACGCTGCCGCTCCCCTACCCCCAGTCGTAGACAACACATACAATACACCCTTAATACAACAAGCATGTGCTGGGAAGACCGCGACACATGCCCCCCCCTGGCCATACGGAGGAGAGCAAGCCCCAGCTGACCCGCCTCGGCCTGGGACTGACGAGCGTGGGAGGCTTAACCTCCGACGCTCGTCGGTCCCACTTCACTGATGGGAACATCGACTCTCCGTCGATGTCCCCATCTTCCCTCCGAGTGTAGTCATCTACACAACTATTTGCATCTCCATTGAGAGATCGCCCTCTCTTTGCCTTTTGCTAAGTTTTCGACCCGGCTGCCGGGGGGTGGTCACGCAAGCTCGAAATCGGCAACGAGGAGCTCGGGAGGGCGGTTCAGCGCATGTGTTCTAAAAAGGTCGCGCTTGGGCCGGAAGGATTGCCTGGGCGCGCCTGGGGCGCGGCGACTACCCGCGGGATTGGAAGGAGGCTCGGCTGACCCTCGTAGATAAGCCTGGGAGGCCTGGGAGTTGTATACCTCTCAAACTCAGAGGTCGATAAAGGAGTCGCCGCCACCGTCAGGATCAAGCCGTGAATCAAGATCCAGAGGGACGAGCACGGCGACGCATGGCGCGTTACGTATAATATCCTTTTACTAATGTTTGTCATACTATAAATGTAATCCAATGGTGGTGAGTAACCATAGTGCATATTATGTAAAAACTCATGTTCCGTCTAATCTGTTGTAGCAGGTAGCCAAGAAGCCCCAAGCGTAAGAACATTTAGGGGTGAGAGGGTGACCGTAGGAACAGTGATGACAGTCACCAGCGATGGCCTGACAAATAGATCGAGCGCGGCAAGGCGCCGAGAACAGTAGCTACCGCGCCACCATGGGTCCAGCGAGAACGGCTCCCGGATAAAGGGACATAGCCTGACAACGACCAAGGATGATTAACCCTTTGCACTCGAGGGCTCCGAAGCGGAGCCATTTAAAATTTGTCTTCAAACTCGAAGGCTCCGCTATGGAGACAATGCAAATAATTTTCAGTTCATAACATAAGGACAGAGACAAATCATAAACACTATTGTGTATATGATATTAATTTTATAATGTTTTGTTTTTTATATATTATAATATTTATATCCATAATTAATTAAGAAAGCAATAACATACAGCAATGACTTTTTTTTAATGCGCATATCATTCACTTATATGTGAATATGATCTTTCCACTGAAATCGCTTCGAGTTGCTGGTAATATGAATGAAAAGAAACATCGAGTGCAAAGGGTTAACTGGTGACCCCTTTACGGGCATCTCAGATCAACAATGATCTCGAACGGACCTGATCTATCCTGCGCGCGTCATAAAGTAATTTAAGGCTAATCTTTGTACGCTCGACCTAGCGGCCTGCAACCGTGTGTTGCTACAAGTTATTGTATATTGTACATTGCATATTGCACATTGTATATTCTATATTATATATTGTATATTCTCTAAATATTACTAACTCCGACTATCTTACAGATAATATTGTCATTTATTCAAAAATATCAGTTTAAAAAATTCCGTTATAAAGCTTCAGAAACGTATAAAAATAACTTTTTAATTCAAATATTTCGCATAAACAAATTCTGAATACAGACATAATTCTTCTTCTTAACACGGACGATTATTATTACATCCGTAAGTAGTACATAAAATATTCCACTTGATTTTTCGAAGCAATGAGAAGTCAAAAGGTAACTGTTGGTTATGAATAGCAACAGAGGAAAATATATGATTGTTTCATTTATCTGAAAAATATGAGTGCATAAGTCAGTATGTTATTTTATTAATTTTAACCTATATTGAATATTGGCAGTTTAATTTGTAAAAAATGGAATAATTTTGTAAGGTTCTGTAGTATGATTTATTAATTTCTGTGATAATCCGGATAAAATTTTAGTAATTATCCAGATAAAGGGAAACCGCCTCCATTACATAATACGTAGGTTAAAAAATACTCTCACGATACATTTTTCACTACTGTCTAATAACAGTAACATATAAGTAACCTACGTTTTAAATGTTTTGACGAAGGAGAAAACTTTGTAGTTACATGCATGGACTCAGCGTTCCAGGTAGAATGTAACTGAAATAAATATGTTCTTGCATATAATTAGGTCTTATAGAGTCAATACATAAACATATGCATGCACATTACTGCTAAGAAATTTGGAATTACGTATGTAATTAATCAGAAGAAAATTTGTTCTTTTCCAATGGAAAATACACGAATAAATATTTGAATTTTTAATTAACTTACACGAGATAAGTACATGTTGATACTTCAGGGGGTAAAGTTGCAAGCTAAAACGAGTAAAAAGATCACATGAATACATGTTTGACATACCTTAGTTTTCGAGTTATGAGTTAATAAAGGAAATATTCGAAGTGCTCGTCTTCTACCATAATACACGTGTTTGAACGCCTTAATACATTTCAACAGTATCCAATGTTTACAAACAAATACTAATTTATACTAATTACTAAATACTAAAAGATAAAATTCAATTTATGTAGCAGCGTTTTTCTAATACAATAGATTTATTATACATACTTCAGTGCATCTAATATCGCTTAAAATTTTTAAACATATTGACTGGTTGCTGAGATATCGACCCTCAAAGTTGAAATTTCAGACCTCTTAATGTCTCGAAAATTGGAGCCCCTTTACTGTGCCAGAGGAAATTTCTCTTAACAAAATCTTTCAAAAGTAATAAGTTTCTCACAAACATTAACTGAAAAATGCATCTTTTATTGTGAATTTTGCATTTTGATAAAATATTTCAATTCAGCAATTACAAAAACATGACGTGCCATAGTTTGTATTGAGACAGGAGGCAAGCACCTCAAAGATTTCCTTTAATCACCCATAACTCGTAATCTAAGGTGTACTGGACATATATTCACATGACTCTTCTACGGGTTTTTGTGTGGACATTTATCCTTTGAAGTATCGTTATGTACTTATAAATCACCCTGTATATGAACAGCTTCTTCGCTGACTTTGATATAGTATAGTACTCAGGCAGCAGAATTTATTATTCAAATTTCTCATTTCAGAGGTACTTTGGGTCTCTGATACTGAAAGTTATAGTCGTCCTTCACGAAAATGGACAATTTTATGAATACAGTAGAAGTATGTAATTCACTGCTACTCATCGTTGTTGTGATGAACTGGTTCAAAGTCGCTTTCGTCGCTTGAAAAACAACAACAACACCGTTGGAATTTATATACCGCATAAAAAAATCGCACAAAAAAAAATC